ATATTGACAGACACAATATATATATATATATATATATATATATATATATATATATATATATATTGCTTTACTATTGTTGTATTCTTGGGCTAAATAGTGTATGTGTTTAGCAGTAATAGACCCTTTTCACATTTCCAGTGTTTTTGGAAGCAGTTTTTGTCATAGTTTGTTAAACTTCTGTAGTGGTGAACAGAAACTACAACAAATATAATTTTTGTGTTCTCATTTGTTCTAATAGTGAAAGAAAAAAAATCAAGATAGTGTTGCTATGAATATCCAAAATAGGAAAAAACATTGAGACATTGATTACAGACAGAAAGATATCAAATTTGCCATCAGTTGTTGTATTATAAAACAGTCAAGCATCAGTATTAGGCTAACTAGTTTTCTGTAATTTAACGTAAAGTAATGTAACACGAAGTACTGTCTTATAAATGTACATTTGTCAAGTCATGCTCTGTTTAGTTTATTTATTTGGAATTAAAACTGAGCATGGGTTCATCTACAACTCGCCTCCAGTGGATGACTGTTACAACATTGCAAAAATTTGTTTTTTGCTAGGTTTATGTTGCTAAACGTCATCACAGTGAATAGGGTCTTCATTTTTCAATGTTTCACATATCACACACACTTATCAACTTTTTTTAACAAATTTACAGCCTATTATGGGGGGGGGGGGGCAGTTTTCACCAAAAATAAATTAATAAATTAAAATAAATAATCATAATACAACACATAAAATAAATTTTTAGTCAGGCTTTTGTTGTACCCCACATGAGTGTCTTAAAATTCTTGCATCATAGAAATTATAACTTGAGAATTGAGGATAGTGCAGAGGGATAAAAAGCCAAAAAGTTAATGTCAAATACTTGTTGGATAAATTAGACAAGAATAATAATTTTGGTCACACTTAATTTTAAGGTGATAATAATTCTCGCTATTAACAAACCATTAACTATGACTTTTGCCTCAAAAAACTCCTAATTTGCTGATTATTAGTAGTTAGTAAGGTAGTTGTTAAGTTTAGGTATTGGGTAGGATTAGGGATGTAGAATATGTTCATGCAGAATATGCGCTAATAAACAGCCAATATGTTAATATTAGGCATGCTAATAAGCAACTAGTTAAAAGTGAGAATTGGTCACTCTACTAAAGTGTTACCGTAATGTCTATGGAAAGTTTTGAACAATTAAGCTTAAAAAATAAGACAAAAATACATTTTGACAAACTACGTTTTAGAATTTTAGTTAACTTTAAGCACCATAGTAATTTGAAAGAAAAGTTACCTTTTATCTCTCAGGATACTGTGGAACAGGACACTGCTGTTCAGCTGTCAAGTGTCAGAGTATTTCTGACCTTAAATCAGTTTCCTATTTGGGTGTGGACTTCTTGATTTGTTAAACAAAGGGAAAGATAACATTTCACCTTTGTTGAGTTTATTTGACTTCAGGCAGTACTATATAATTGTAAGATCAGTATAGCTTACACAGATGTATGTGGTGTTTATTGATTTGCTTTTTCTTAATTCCATAATATCTAATACATGCTTAATAACAGCTTTTTAAAACGTATTTTCTAGCCTCACTAACTGTGATATGAGACTTTAATCTTTGCGACTTTACAGATCGTCTGTATGCACGGACAGCTTTTAACACTCCAAAGACAAAGGAAAACATGAAATCATATCGTATGACCCCTTTAAACTAAAAAACACATGAAGTGAAATTGACTGTTCTTTGTAAATCTGTTCACCTTAGGCCAAATGGAGATGTTTGAATATTAGACAATCAAAGATCTTCATTATTGCATGAAATGCTTCAGGTGTTTTATCATTCAGTTAACTACTGTCACATTTATGAGGGAACTGAGAATGTAGAATATGACCTCTGAATGATATCTTCAGATATATTATATTTACTGATATATTATCAGTAAATAATACTCACATTTACAGAAGCATTACCATTACCGTATCTGGGTCTGTTTTTGATGCACAAGGGTTATTGGGAGTTGTTTCTCACGATAAGCTGTTTCTGTTTGTCACCACCGTCTATTATTTAAATTCATGAAAATTATGAAAGTCCAAAATGTAAGCAAAAGCTGTGATATTTAACCGTTAAATATTAATGTTTGTTCACTAAAGAATATTTAAGATTATTGGCCCATAGATGAGACTCTAATGATTAGATGCACTTAATGCTTAATGATTTTTTATTTTGTACAGTTTTTCCTCATTCACTTTGCCATGTTTTGCAATCTTCACAACTGTTCGCAGGAACATCAGAACGTCTCTGTTATGAATGTAACCCTCGTTCCCTGAAGGAGGGAATGGAGACGTCACGTCGAAAGTACTGAAAGTGAACTGCATGTTTGCTAAATGTAGTAACTCACACAAAATCTTTAATTCATACTTCAGAACTTAATTATTGTGTCCGAAAATTGGTCAATGCCACCAAAATAAAAACTGTTTTTTTGTCACTGTGTGAGCCACACTGGTCAAAATGTTTAGATGTTTCTTCACCTTGAAAACATCTGTTATATATCAAATTTCTTGTTTTGTCTATTTTTTGTTGACATTGACTGCTTTACAAGAATGTAAGACTCATCTATGTTTTTAAATACAGATTTCAACATTAGGCAAAAATTGCTAGGAAAAGTCAATAATGTAGTAATAAAAAAATTGACATTTTGATTTATACTCCATGTATGCTTCCAAACTTGATTGGTAAGATTGTGATTCTTATTTCATTACAATGGTGGGCTATTTGAAAACTTAACAGACATTGCAAAAATTCCACGTGAGATATTAATAGAATAGCCTATACATGCATGTCTGACAGATTTTGATAACTGAATGGATCATTTTGCAAGTGATGGCTCACATGATGAAAGAATGTTTAGAAGTTGTGAAGAGTTTGACAATTTCACTGAGAATTTATCAGTTTTGATAAACAATCGTACATTTACTTTTTTTGCACACATGTGCTGAAATACATGGAATTTGCTTAAATCAATAAAAACATATATAAAATCTGATATGAACGAGAAAGTAATTGTTCAGACACCTGAATTAATTGTTTTGAGAAAAACACATAAGCTTTTACATCTTCAGGGAAATCTGTTCCTGCTGGCTGATTTTTATTGTAGAATCATTTTCTCATGTTCAGATTTTTTCCTTTTACTTTAGATGTACTTTGTTCTTATTTCTTGACCTCGCCCCAACAGTTTCAAGGCGTGTCCTGTTTACTGTGATTCATTTGTAAATGATGAGGGCAGGGTTGCTTCTGTTGCGTATTTAAAGCCTTTTTATTTTCTCTGTCCTTTGTGTATGAGATTTAACATTAGGTTAAACGTTCAGTTAAGACGTAGGTGATTTTCGAGAGACTAGCAATAGCAAGCTACCTTTGAAAGCATCAGATCCTGCCCTCCCTGCCAGTCACTCTCCAAAACCACACCTCCTCAAAAACACACAAACATTCAGACTGCACAGGAGACCAGAGGCTAACCAGCGACACGATGAGAGACGGCGTTGGTGGAGGGTTGAATGCAATGCTATCAGATTACCTCATGTCTCATCCACAGTGAGAAAACATTACAGTACAAAGCTCTATTATATTACAATAACAACGCCTTCCATTCTTGCTCAGTCTGCAATAGCGTAATGGAATAAGAAAAAAACGTAATATTAACCAAGAATAACATTGTCAATTTAAGAAAATTCCATAATAATTGCATTGTCATTGCCGTAGTTTAACCTATGCTGCTGTCATATGACAAATTAACAAAGATTAAGATCAGAAAGGCTTTGTGTATGAGATTTAACATTAGGTTAAACGTTCAGTTAAGACGTAGGTGATTTTCGAGAGACTAGCAATAGCAAGCTACCTTTGAAAGCATCAGATCCTGCCCTCCCTGCCAGTCACTCTCCAAAACCACACCTCCTCAAAAACACACAAACATTCAGACTGCACAGGAGACCAGAGGCTAACCAGCGACACGATGAGAGACGGCGTTGGTGGAGGGTTGAATGCAATGCTATCAGATTACCTCATGTCTCATCCACAGTGAGAAAACATTACAGTACAAAGCTCTATTATATTACAATAACAACGCCTTCCATTCTTGCTCAGTCTGCAATAGCGTAATGGAATAAGAAAAAAACGTAATATTAACCAAGAATAACATTCAGTCAATTTAAGAAAATTCCATAATAATTGCATTGTCATTGCCGTAGTTTAACCTATGCTGCTGTCATATGACAAATTAACAAAGATTAAGATCAGAAAGGACTTGGGAGGTGAGAAAATCATTTATTTTTCCTTTACAGAGTGTATGTGGCTGGCCTAAATTACCCATCACTAGAAAGAAAACCAGTTCAAACCCACTCATATTTTGGGTCCTGCACGGATGTCATGTGCGACAGGATGTTGTTCCCTTGACAAAACATTTTGCCCCAAATTAATCTAGCAAATTATCTGCCACAACACAAAATCCAATCTGAATCTTCCTGGGCATCTGTCTCGTTTGCTGGTTCATTACTCTATATGCAATCTTCCATCTTTATTGTGAGTAAAAAAAACAAAATTACAGTGCAAAATATTTGAATCACACTCACAGGTGCTATCAGTGCCTTTGTGGAAGCAACACATAATTGCATTGATTCTTCCACTCCCTTCCAGATCATTATAAATGCTGTCAAAATATTTGTCCAGTTCAATTAGTGACTTTATTAGTTTCTTCTCAAATTCGTTGCAGAAATTGACTTTCCAACGTGATCTCATGAGAATTAGTATGTATTTTAAGTAAAATGTGGTTCTACAAAACGTACATTTACTTATGTTTTCACAGGAACTGAAAGTACAATACTGACATATTTTCAGTATATATTTTCCTGGGCATCTGTCTCGTTTGCTGGTTCATTACTCTATATGCAATCTTCCATCTTTATTGTGAGTAAAAAAAACAAAATTACAGTGCAAAATATTTGAATCACACTCACAGGTGCTATCAGTGCCTTTGTGGAAGCAACACATAATTGCATTGATTCTTCCACTCCCTTCCAGATCATTATAAATGCTGTCAAAATATTTGTCCAGTTCAATTAGTGACTTTATTAGTTTCTTCTCAAATTCGTTGCAGAAATTGACTTTCCAACGTGATCTCATGAGAATTAGTATGTATTTTAAGTAAAATGTGGTTCTACAAAACGTACATTTACTTATGTTTTCACAGGAACTGAAACGTACAATACTGACATATTTTCAGTATATATTTTATATATATATACACAAGACAAGCTAAAATGTTTTGTCAATAAAATAAAATTATTAACTTTTTCAAATAAAATAATGGCCATTTTTAATAACTAATTTAAGTTTGACAATTGAACACAAAACAAATAGACCAGCCAAAATGCTTTACATTTCTTGAAATAATAATTTCTGAAATTAATTAATAATTTCTAATAACGCAGTTACAAAGTTCCCCATCTGTGCAACTGTAATTTAAAACTGGTTAGACTTCTGCTAGTTAGTGAAGCATTCAAAAATCTAAACGGACAAATAACAGATTGGAGACAGCAGATTTGTCTCATTTTAAATAAACACTAACAACTGAGATGAAAAAATTGACTTCAGGCAGAAATTTACTTTTGCTATGGTTAAATAGTTGTTCATTGCATTTTGGCAGAATTTTTTTCTTTATATAGTGTTGATATGGCAAATAGTAAATACTGTAAGTTTTGTTATGCTAGTACTTATAGAAATGTTTAAACCATTTGTGTTACAACTAACCCCGCGCTCCCCTATTCTATATGCTTAAACAGCATATTCCTTGAATCAAACAACAACAGTAGAAAACAAATCAGTTTTTCAAGAAAATACTTCATTTATCAAAATTTTGCAATATAAACTGTTTGAACAGTGTTCCTGTATAATCAAACTGACCCCGTACACTTCCATTAACCAACCCTTAAACCCATTCAGACCACCAAACCTAGCCTTACCCGTATCAGTAACAGCAAAAGTGATGTACTATATTAACAAATAGGCTATTAAAATCATTTGTAGATTTTCAAGAAGTGCATAATCATTTGACATTTGTGTCAAAAGCATTTGATTTTACGTTAAATAATCATCTTATTAAGCATTACTAACCATTAAGTAAAGTTTAATAAGGGGCTAAAACTAAAAACTTATTTAGGTTTTCAAATGTTAGCAAAATTTAAGAACCATAATACTTTGAGTGAAGTGTTACCTTGTATGTCTCAGGATAATGTCTATGGGACAAGACACTTGCGTTGATTCAGCTGTCAAGTTGAGCCCTGACAAGAGTTCTGACCTCAGATCTGTCTGTACAGACTGAACTTTTGGGTGTGGACCTCTTCGTAGAATACTCCAATATCACATGAAACACACTCTGTGCCAAGCAAAGGGGAAACAATACTTAGTAAGCTTTATTTAAATTCATATGGCACTGAATTAATATTATCATCTCTATAATGATTTCTCTATGATTCCTCTATATTATTTGGGTGAACTATTCCTTTATTCTATCTAGATCACAAGCTAGTTCTTATTTTCTGTCACACAACTCCTTGCAGGAGATGGAGAGGCAAAAACTAAATACACCATTCTATGCCAGTATATAAACAGGGAATTCCATGGGCCAGAATATACAATTAAATAGAAGCTTACCCTATCCTTCATCTGTGTATGCAGTCTCAAAAATCTCAGGTGTTAGTTGTACCTTGAGACTGCAATCTAAAGTGCTGGTGGTTTCCTCTTCATGCTGCGCCTCAAGATGTCTGTGTGAGATTAAAGGAAGCACCCCAAAGAGCTACGAAAGTCCTCTTCTTACACATTAAGTAAGTGAGGTGATGATGCACATTTACCCTACAATCTACAATTATGCTTTTTTTTTCTAACTGCATCAAAGCACTTCCTATTGTTCACACAGGATGTGGTACATATCATCTTACAGGATGTGTGTGTGCACACTATTTCTCTTAACACAATGTAGCATTTTAATCAGGAAACAAGCGTTTCCATATTGTTTGTGTCTTCCCTTTTAAAGCTCAGTGTATTATAGACCTTAATCGCTGCGGGGGGTGCCGGGAACCACAGCAAACGAGCCCAGTGTGAAAGCCACCTAAGCTTCATCCATGTCTAGTGTCTGCTCTATTTTTCCCCATAAGTTATGACCGGTAACAAATATTTTTAACTCTTTTAAACCAAAGCTGAGCTATCTCATCATACCCTCACAAGCGCTTGTCAATGCAGCCGTCTGTTGTTGTTGCAGTCTCCGCTATTTTGATGTTGTTGTTCCATCTCGTTAGTTTCGTTTTCTACTGTGAAACAACGGCCCGGGACAGTGTTGTCCTTGTGGAACAACTGATCAGTGCAAAACAAATTCAATGCGCATGTGCGACCTGTGAGTACTAAAGGCCAAAGTCACGCGCATTGTATGCTGACCCTGTCACCTTCGAGTACGTATACTTTGGGCTTTATAGTCTTTACAATGGAATGTAATTTTCACAACTTTAATGTTTTATGGAGTTTTTGTCTGTTGAAAGAAATATTTCATAAACTGAGCAATCACTAAACAATATCCACATCCTCATAACATTTAGATGGTCAAAAACAATATTTCATATGGTGAGAGATGAGGAGCTCAGAAAGCAGTTGTATTATAGAAACAGGAAATTTATTTTTGCAAGTAGATCAGACAGTCATACAGAGCGCATCTGCAGAGTGTGTGACGAAAAGGAACACTTGGGCTCAGTTCAAACAAAAGATGTTTCTGTCTCATCCAATAATAATGCATACTCAACATATGTAGGGTTTTATGGTTTTAGGGTTGATATGCTTTTTCTAAGTTTCCATCACATGACTTTTGCAGCTTCTCCGCCGGTGCTTTTATATTCAACAGGAAAACAGAAGGTTCTTTAGCTTAAGCATCCTTTTCTTTACCTTATTAGGTCTGGTCTTAACGCTTCAGGATTAGAACTATAGTGCAAATAAAAGAAAAATACAGAAACCAATAGTTTATATTACATCACCTTTTAAACAAATGAGAATGTCAAGATACATTCCTGAATGGACAGAACATAGACTTTTAAAGTCAAAATATCCTATATATTATAATTCTTAGAATATATTTTTTAAACATTTTTCGTGTGTAATTACTGTGCCTACAGTGGCACCAAACGGAATTGCAAAAATGCAATTGTAAAAATGTATTAGGACCACAACAGTAAATTTGTGGAAGTAATTATAATGTTCTTATAATAAGCCTAATCAAGAAATATCTGTGGAACAGTCGTGAGGAGGTCTCTCTTCAACCACCACCAGTGTGCAGCATCCACCTGGTGTGCACGCACCACACACCGGCTACAGGTGGAGAGCAGATAGAGATAGAGCCAATTCAGTGGATAGGGATTATTAGGCCAAGGGCCAGTGGAGGGAATTTGGCCAGGACACCAGGGATACACCCTAACTCTTTAGGAGAAGTGCCATGGGCTTTTTAATGACCCCAGAGTCAAGACCTCATTTTAACGTCTCATCTGAAGGACGGTGCTTTTTACAGTATAGTGTCCCTGTCACTATGCCATTAGGACCCACACAGACCACAGGGTGAGCACCCCCTGCTGGTCTCACTAACACCTCTTCCAGCAGCAACTTAGTTTTCTCATGAGGTCTCCCATCCAGGTACTACTGACCAAGCTCAAACCTGCTTAACTTCAGTGGGCAACCAGTCTTGGGCTACAGGGTGATATGCAATGTAGACACTCCCCTGCTTGTGGATGTGGGAAAACTTCAGCACAGTTAAAGCATGTTTTCTTGACACAATTATTTATACCAGAGTTGGCCATTTCATCTTGGGAATTGGGAAAAAGCATCAGTTTTGTTTTTGTTCTGTACACGCAGCTTGCACCTTTGCCAGCTCCATGGCTCGTCCCATCACTAACATGTCAGTTAAAGTCAAATCTGGATAGTGAAGTTTACTTGAAGTACTCTTTTGAATAATCATAATCTTTATCTCTCTGTCAGTGTCAGTGAATTGGCACATTGCAGCTAATTGTCTCAGTCTAGTACGATTAGCAGCATTAGTTCAAGTGTACTTAAAAAAGGGAATTTCCGTTTAGATCAAATGGATGTTGTTCGACCAGCCTAAATTTGGGTGGGCCTTACCTCTGTTTATTGTAATGTTACTCTAGCTAAGTGTGCCATGGGAAACCATGGCATGACTATACCAAAGTATCAGAGAAAGTAATGTTGGTTGGCTTATATCTATAGTACTGTATTAGTGCATTATAGATGGAGTGGTATGCCCTATGTACAGCTGCCATTGGCACACTGAAAGCTATAGTTACAACTCTGTAGGATGTTCCACAGGCATGCCAAGAAAGAAAGATCAGACATTCAATGGTCCTTCCCCAACCATGATGTCTTTCCTTGTGCATATGTCAAAGGAAATAATTCAAGGCTTCCCTCTTTAAATGGAAGTCTGGCTTGGTGGTTTGTGTATATGCTTTAGTTTTTTTCCAAGGCATTGTTAGATGTCAAGCCAATGTTTCCTGTAATAGCTATGGAAAGATTTGATTTCAAAAACAGTATCATAGCTATTAAACCATATCTTATGATTTTGAAATCTGTATTTAACCTCAGAATGATCTCAAAGTTAAAGTCTGATTTTGTGATGGTTGTGTTTTAAAAATAAATTATTATAATCTTAATTCAAGTGATGAAAGATTTTGAAAGTCTGACAGTAATCAGTGTTGAGTTTAGAAAAAAAAATTTGAAAAAATATTGAAATGTAAATTTTGAAAAGTAATCAATGTAATCAGTTACATTACTTTAATAAAGTAATTGAAATAGTTCCACTACTTATTACATTTTAAATAGGGTAACTTGTAACCTGTAACCTATTACATTTCCAAAGTAACCTTCCCAACACTGCCCACTTTAATATCCAGAGATAACTATGTCATGTTTTTGACTGACTTCCTTGAAGTGTGTACACACTCATAATATATGTATATTGTCCCAAAGCAGCTTTACAAAAAATTGTGCCTTACAGATACAATATCAGTATGAATATCAGCAACAGATTAGTGACCCAAACTAGGTCCACAAAAAAATAAAAAAAATAAAAAGAAGATGAAAGATGAAAAAAAAGATGATAAAAGAATGATGTGGTAGATGGGAAGTGAGAGAATAAAGATGAGAAGGAGGATGAGAAAGAGAAGCAGCAGAATGATAACATGGTGGAGGGGGAACTGAGACAAGGAGGAGTAGGAGGATGCAGAGAAAAGACAGAAAATGATTAAATCATCAGGAAATAACAACTGAATCAGAATAGTACTGAAACACTGACAGACACAGGGTCATAGGCACAGGGTCAGGGCAGGTGGAAAACAATCCAAGTAATATCCAAACAAACAAGGCAGAGACAATAGGCAGGCAGCAGAGATTCATTATAGGACAAACAGTCCAGGGTTGTACACAGGCAGGGCAAATAGACACAGAGCAGGGATGTAAAATACATGAGTAATTTTACTTGATTACTGTACTTAAAGGGGTCATATGATGCTATTTAAATTTTTCCTTTCTCTTTGGAGTGTTACAAGCTCTTGGTGCATAAAGAAGATCTGTAAAGTTGCAAAGTCTAAAGTCTCAAATCCAAAGAGATATTCTTTATAAAAGTTAAGAGTCAGCCACGCCTACCTAAAACGGCTCGTTCTAACACGCCCCCACATATCTACATCACTATGTGGGAAGATTTGCATAATGCCGCCCAAATGTTCACGCAAAAGAAAGAAGGCGTAACTTTTATTCTCGCTGTAGTATTGTTGCCACCGCCGCCATGTCGTGAAGACACTGTGTGATTCGTTGTGAAAGCGAAACTACTTTGTTTGGCCTTCCAAAAGAGGACGATATCCGCTTCGTCATGCCTGGAGCAGATCCGTGCTGGTTGCTGTGGAAATACAACAACTTTGCGCTGTGGATCTCCGGATCGACTTTCACCGTGGACGAAGCGGAGTCCAGCCCGGGGTCGTCACATGTTGTTGCCGCAAGCCCTCCTTCGTCGAATCCGCTGGCCGCGCCGTTCTCAAGCCCGCCACCTCTGCTCCCTCTAGCCCCCAGCCTCTGCTCACTCTAGCCCCCAGCCTCTGCTCACTCTAGCCCCCAGCCTCTGTTCACTCTAGGCCGCCGCCGCTCACTCTAGACGATGTGTTTCGTTGTGAAAGCGAAACTACTTTGTTTGGCCTACCAAAAATGGACACGACTAGAAATCAGTGGTTAAGTTGTATTTACAACACTGTTCCGGAACACTTCAACCCAAATATTCAAATGTGTGCAGCACATTTTATGGAGGACTTTTCCTGATCCTGGTAGAGTAGACATTGGTTTTATGTTTACGCGGCGCGGCGTAAACATAAAAAGACAGTATAAGTCATTATAATCCATAATTATGTCCCCACTGGATGCAACGAATGCCTCGTTTATAATGGGTTTTCATGTTTTTGAATTATCGCTCCGGCCTGACAGGGCATCATCACAATATGGGAAGGGATGTAACATTTCTGTCACACGCTTGAGGTATTCGGCCAATCATAATGCACTGGATAGCTGGCCAATCACAGCACACCTCGCTTTTCAGACCGATGAGCTTTGTAAAAATCAATGCGTTTCAGAAAGGCGGGGCATAGAGGAGAAACAATAATGTACAGTATGTGGAAAATAATGTGTTTTTTGAACCTTAAACAGCATAAACACATTTCATTACACCAAATACACAAAATAATGTTGTTTTTAGCAACATCATATGACCCCTTTAAAGCTGCAGTCCGTAAGTTTTGCCTCATTGTCGCCATCTCTGTTTGAAAACCTGCAATTGCAGGTGTGTGCGGAATTATCTTCCTTGCGTGGGTTGTGCACCGGTACCGAATCTAATGTTTTGAGGAGTATGTGTGTGTGTGGCAGTCAGTCACCGCACCGTTGTGGATATTGTACTTTGCACTCCCAGATTCTAGCCTACATCTTGGAATATACGACTCAAATAAGCATTTTCACCGTATATTGTCACCTGAACAAGTAAGTAACAAGTCGGCCACGTTTGTTCTGACCAACTGAGGAAAAAAGCATTACAATAAATCACGCTACCAATGGTGATTTAATCTAAATTAGCTTATATCACATCAAACCGTGCAAATTATTATTATTGTTATACTTTATTCTCAAATTGTTCATGTTATCAGCATTGCGTGACTAGTGTGTATAAGCGAGTAGATTTCAATTTCTGTACAGTCTAATCTCTAATTGTCATACCACTTGAATTTCATATTAAGAAATTCTTTTAACCCAAAAAGCTAATTATGCTCCCTTCTAAATGGTGGTCTTTAAAATACAAATCTTGTGTAATCCCAGGCTATCTGTAATCAGAAGCTCATTTAAAACTGGAATATAATTTAATTT